GGAAACTTCTGTCCGGATCTGGGGATACATAATGTTCAGCACAGATCAAACATTCAGTTAATATATCTCATGAATGTTTGTAAGTCTTTAGAGAGGATGTACAAAATGATGTTTCTGAATGGCTTGTAATTTCTTGAAGTTGGAGCAGTTTATGGAGTAACAAGTGGTACGTGGTTGGCATTGAAACGATCCGCATCAGTTGTCAATTATTTGCTTTCATGCAGTGGAGCTTGTTATGTTTTCAAGAAGTCTTGATGTGGGCAAGCAGTTCCTTTACACTAACTACTTTTTTAGCAATATTTGGGTGTGTTTGAAGTTTTAGCACGACAGTGAGGCAGACAACTCGGATATCCAAGTGACTATTTTGCTGAACCTTTAACATCTAAAGCCATTCAGAGTGTTGTAAGGAAAGCAATCTTGCAGTCATTAGTTTGTACATTGCACCTAATATGTAGTTTCCAGTTTAGCATGTTTTGCGCTTCGGAATCTCTTTTGTTAGAATTTACTATTCTGTCAAGTATTGTCAGGGACACAAGAACGTATCTTAAATTTTATGTTGATCTCCAGATGCGATGGCATGCTTATGCTGTTGCAGTACTAATATTCCAAAGATGACTGTCCTCATGATTGTGCCAGCATTGAATATGAACTTCAGAAGGGTTAAAAAATTGGTTTGCCTTTGTGTGGTTATGGATACTGAGCAGCACAGTCTGCTCCCATCTTCCCAGTGTATTTGGCATCCCTGTTGTGGCAAAAGCTTTCATATTTGCTGCACAAAACGACTTGTCTGGCTCTAAACTCTGCCTGTTGTAATGGATTTTTGGATCTGTAGAGGCTTGGTGGCATTTTATTGCTGCTGTTGATCTCTTAGTGAAGGATGTTTTCCTGGCCAGCATCTTGGTCTCACAGTCCGTGTCACAACGTGGTTGGTTGCCGGCCAGTATTTTACCAGTGCTCACCGCGCATCAGAACTTGGGTGTAGTGAGGGCTCAGTGGTGCTGTAGGGTACAGGTGATCATTTTAATTAAGAATTGCTAAGTGTATTTATTTAACAGTTGCTTTGGATGATAGCACTTTATCTCCAACCAAAGACAGCAACTTATTGTTTTTGCCAGTCTGTAAGTTTTGTGGCTTTGTCAAAATTGCGGGGGAAGATGAGCATGTGGAATGCATTGCAGAAAATACCGATCCTGGTTAAGGCTTTAGCCTTTCTTCTGCCTGTTCGAATCTCATGCCTTGGTGTCTCTTCCCTAGTGGTCAGGCATGTTTCTCCACTGTAAGCCTATTTGAAAGGTTGCTTAACAAGATAATATTCTTAACTCGTAGCTTCAAGAGTATCTGTTTTGTCTTTGTGTTTTCCACTACATCAGTGCAGTTTCATCAATTCATTCTTAAATTCTTTCACAGTTCAGTACTACATTTGCCATCAGATCTTTGAATTTTATTGAGCTGCCGATACAATGCACCGCATTTGGTCTGCCACTAAAGCGACTTGCAGTTTACACTTTGTTCACTTTTACCTCAAGCATTTCTCTATTCTGTGCTCTAGATGTTCTTTATATGTTACGATCTTGCAGAACATTTAGCATTACAGAAACAGTTTGAGAGTATTTTTTTGAGGCACAAAGAAGGTATATTAATAGTTTGCCTTACACTGTGACACTGTGCAGCTTTAAATTTTTAGGCCATCTCCACAAAACAGGACTTAAGTCTCCAAAAGTACTGACTGTTCAAAGCTCCCTCTTCTCCTGTTTTAAAAATAAAATCAGAGTTAAACTTCAGAATTTTTTTTTCTTTTTGCAGAAATGGTTAGAATAGTCCATGTAGAAATACTAGAAGTGATTAATTGTTTCATTCTAAGTAATAAATGCAGAACACCAATTCATATTAGAAAGTAATCTTCTTGTATATTTTGAATAATTACTGCTGAAAATCTAGATATAAAAACACACAGAGTATCAGATAACTGGTTTACCTCAGATTTTTGGGGTGGAAATTCCATGCATCTGAGATGTGAGGGAGTAACCAAAATTTATCATGAAAGTTTATACTACTATTAATAACTATTCTGTAGTATACACTTCAAGTTAAACTTAAGTTTAAACTTTAGATCAGAATAATCTGGCAGCCAGTGTCTTATAGACCATACGTATGTTGTTGACATAGTGGCAAATCAAGGAAATTAGCAGTCTCTAAAGTCCAGCTGTTTTCTTGCTATTTCTGGCTGCTTTCCTCAGAAAAAAATTCAGGTTTTGGCGGTATAATGAACAACATACTATTGTATTAGGGCATTTTTTTTTCTGTTAACTCCTCATTTTGTCTGTAGCCCTGAAGTGAAACAGCGTTGAGCATTTTTTTAGAGGCAAAATCGCATATAAATGCTTTTTAAAGGAATTATAGTGCTTTTCATTGCAAATGTATTTTAACAATGAAGTGTTTTTTCCTGCTCCACTGCCTGCTCAAAAGGTCTTTTGTATTCCTCCTTTGGACACTTGGCAAACTGCTGTCTTAAGCTTCTGCCAGAGCTCTCTGGGGCTGGCATACCCCAGTCATCATCAGCAAGGCAGCGTGGGGTTAGCTGTCAGGAAAAGCCACTGGGTTAGACGGTATTTGACACAGCATCAGTACTTTACATTGTTCAGTAGATATTTATGTTAACTGTACTCTTAACGTCTCTTTGTGACACCGTGGAGTCACGTGAATATTGTTCTCATGTTGTAGATAATGAAGTGGAGCTCAAAACAAACGATTTATTGAAGGCTATGTTATCATTGGCTAGCAAAGCAGATAAGCAGAAAGTGAGAAGTCCTCTGTACTGTAAGTCCACTAGAGAGTGCTGTTTCCAGTTAAATACTACTACAGCCCTTATTTTCATTAACAGGACCCGTTCACAGGGCTTCTGGAGAGGGGGGGCAGCACAGAGCAGTTGGGGCATTAAGAGTAGTAGTTAGTTACTACACTGAAGTTGGCACAAAGCAATGGAGAAGCGTGTCCCTTCTCTCTTCCTGTTGCTAGTTACCAAAAAAAGTTGTGAGATGAACTTCTTAAGCGTGTCATCTTGTAGATTAAGGAAACATGCTTAATTTTGTAAAACTATATATACTTCAGTAGTAATAGTGGTTATGCTGAGTGTTCATAAGAAATGGTATCTTACCAAGCATAAGTAGCAGCATTATTTCTTGTCCCCAGAATGAATTTTGGGAATTTATTTCTAAAGCTGCTGTTACATCTATAATCAGAAAAGTATGGCAAAGCAGAATACAGAATATAAATTAGTGAACAAGGAACTTTGCAACTAATATTATATTTTAAATACAATGATTTTAAAGAACAAAATATAAAAATAGTAGCATCTAAATATAAAGTTGGAAGCATCCTTTTTCCTTGTTTTTCTGAAATGTACTTTCAGAGCCAGAGTTTCAAAGGCAGTTTTGCTTTCTGTGGTTTTTTGTTTTGTTGTTCCCCCAAAACACAGCCATTTGACCACATAAAATCAGATTCTTTCAGCACATCTTTTCACTTTTTTTTTTCTTTCTTTTTTCCTCAGAAGGATTTAGGCAATCTTTGTGATGTATAGCCTGCTTCTCTACATCTTCATAACAAGTATTTAAATGAGTGCCAGAAGCCTTTATTTGCATCATGGAAAAAATGCAGAGTTTTCTAGAATTAACTTTTATGTGAAAGGGGAAGATTGAAAAATGTCGTTGGAGGAGGCTCACAGATATCTGTGTTTTCATACATAAGTAGAATTACAGTTTTCATACGGTATCTGATTTTGTTCTTTCTAATACCCACGTCTTTTTCTTTAGTCACCTTTCCGCACCTTGCAGGTTCTGCTCCTTCGTGGTCTAGTCTTATGGACACCAGCAAACAGTGGGATTACTATGCACGACGAGAGAAGGATAGGGAACGGGAGAGAGAACGATCCCGAGATCGAGATCGGGATCGGGACCGGGACCGGGACAGAGATCGAGAACGCACCAGAGACAGGGAAAGGGAACGAGACCACAGTCCAACTCCAAGTGTGTTCAACAGGTCAGTGAAATGTCTTAAGCATGCTGTAACTCTACTCAAACCTCGTGTCTGTGTTAAATAATGTACAACAGCGTTAAAATTTAGTGTTCAGCTGTATATTCCAAAGAGCTAGAGGGTGTGGCTTCCACTCCTTCCCCCTTTTCTCTTGGAAACTGTAATTAAATTTCTACATGTGAACCAGAAGTGTAAAGGCGTCAGTGAGTCCAAAGTGGTCATGGTGCTTTACAGGTTAAAAGTGTGAGTTAAGTCCTGTGTATGAGTGAGATGCCCAGCTCTCTGACGTCAGTAGTTCTCGGAAAATCTATAAAAGTACTAAATGAATCTTAGTTGTCGATTCAGTGCTAAGGTACAACATTTGACCTTAATTAGTGGTGGTGGTAGCTGCTAAAATGGTAAGTTTGGTCATTAACACTGACTAGATAATAACCTGTCCTCCTTTTAAACTATTATTTCAAGGTCAGGAACGTTTTTTTTTCACTTTCAGGCAGATGATGAAAATAATGGCAGAGGACTTTACTCAGCTTTCAAGTCTTTAATTGCTTTAAAAAAAAAAAAAAAAGAAGATGCAACTATTCTGTGGTTCATGTGCACAAGTACAAAACGTTTAAAAGCTGAGCTTACTGTGACTCCGTAGAGCAGAGGTCTATTGACTTGCCCCATTTATCTAAATTTACTTTGCTCATTATGTGTTTTCTGTTAAGTTTCAGTTTTTGCAGAATATATGTTAGCAATTAGGCGGATTGTTTTTACCAGTGGTTTTACGCTACGGCGAATGAGAGCACCCGGAGTCAACATTTCTTCAGTTGAGAGATGACTTTTTTTTGCATGATGATTGTTCGCTGAAGACCCAAACTGAGTGCAAGAGGGGGGATTTTCCGTGTATGCTGATGTGGTGATGTCCTCTCCTGTGTGCGTGTGCTACGTTCCAGGGTCAGTTTCTGAGAACTCGGGACCAATCTAAACATCTGTTTCTCAGACAGCTTGATTGAAGGCCAGAAAGAAGCCTGGTCATTCAAGGGTGCTTGAAATGAACCTTAATAGCTTCCAGGCCTCAAGAAATCTCTGTGCTGCTGCCAGAGTTATCTGTGAAGGAGGGGGAAGAGCAGGCCTCCACTTTTTTTATGTGCCTAAATTATCCACCATCTGTAAGAAAGCTGTTGCCACATGGCCATGTAAGAAAACGGGAGGCCCTTAATGAGTATAAGTTGATTTGGGAGTCACAGAGAAGGTGGGAGAGGCTTAAGACAGAACATGCAGACCTAATGTTTCTTAAGGTTTATTTTCAATTCTGTGCACTTAAAATAAAATAAAACAAGCTATGAGGAAGAGAATGTGAACTATTTTAGAGACTGCACAGATGCATTAGTTTTATTTAAATTCCCTTTGTTTAAACTTTGTTTAAGTGACACTGGTGGAATTTGGAGTAGGCATTGTCTTTAGCTTTTTACTGCTCAGGAATTGGTGCTTTCAAAAATAGCTTGTATTAGTGCTGTAGTATTTCTTAAAATTGTAAGAAAATGGGAACTATTTTTTTTTCTATTAGTGTATCGAAAATGTTGTTTAAAAATGAACTTCCAGCTGTGTTTATATTCTGATCTACCTTCACTCTGCTATCCACAGATGAAATCGTGCATTTTTACAATATATCTCACTCTATCCCCTTGAGAAGATGGTGTTTGTTATTTGGGACCTTCAGTATGAAAAAGGAGACACTGACAGACCAGAGAGTCCAGCGGAGGGAGGTCTGACAAGGGGGTTAGGAGGGCTAAGGAAGTAGAGTTTATTCAGCTTGAAAGGAGAGGCACGAGGGGGATTCTTAAAGCTTGTTTTCGGCTACCTAATGGGTGTTTGCAGAGAAGGTGGAGCTGTGCTCTTTTACAGTGAGAAGAGACAAGAGGCAGCAGTTAAAAGTCACAGCAAGGGTAATTCTAATTAGATTGGGGGGAATAATTGTAAGAAGAGTGATCAAGAGGTAAGACAGGTTGTGGAGAGAAATTGCATCATCTCTGGCCTTGGAGATCCTCAAACTTTGACCGAACTAGACTCTGAGAAATCTGACCAGACCAGAGGAGGAGTTTGCACAAGTGACCTCCACAATCTTTTCAAGCCTAAATCCTTCTGTGATTCTTGGTGGAGGCATTTTTAAGTACATGGGAAAGTTTTCTAAATACAAATATGAGAAGTTAGACATGTCTACCAAAGTGATGTCTCCTGATTTGTAAAGTTAATAGCTTGTAGTCTGTTTTGAAAAAGGAGCTAAAGGTGTAGAGAACAAAGATTTTGTGGATTGTTTTGGGGCTGCTTTGCCAGGTCATAGATCGTAAGGCTGTCCCTGGAAGGCTTTGGTTTCTGTAACATAAGCGCAGATACAACATGCGAAGGAGATCATTGGTGTAACACACTGGGTACCTGGAATTTCTTCCTCTTCCTGAAAGCTCCCAACATACACTGGAGTTGGCGTTACTTACAGAAAGGGTATTTATTTTCAGACCAGCTGTCACGATTCCGTAGTAGTTTGTCAAAATAAGGTTTAAAAAGGAGGATCAATAATAATTTTAACCTTTTCTAGAGTGTTTTGAAATAATTTTGTAACAGCAGATGCGGAGTGTGGGTTAAGGTTGAAGATTTTGGATCTTGGCTTTCAAACAAAGTTATAAGTTTACAAGTAGCCGCCATCTGATTTCTTATGGCAAGCTCATCAGAAGGCAGTGTTAGACGTTCAAATTTTAAATTAGATACTGATTATCAAAATGTTAGTTCTGGGAAGTAATACCGAGTATTTGAAGTAAACGGTAGTTGAATTGGTTCTACCTTTTCCTATCCCTGCAAGCCTGCAGAAATGTAAGGCCCCTAAAATTGTGATGACTAGTGGCCCTTTAAAGATGTTTTAGTGGAGGAATACCACATCTAACAAAATTTCTCAGTTGATTTTCAAATCAGTTTTTACCTGTAATTTGTAACTTTTGATAGATTTTGGAACCTAATTTCAATTTTTTACACTTTTTAAAAAAAATATTCCAAAACTGAGCTTTATAACAAGACTTCACTAAGCACAGGCTGTCTTTATGGTGTTGCTTTATTAAACACCAGGTTGAGGCACACTTCAAACGTAGATCAAATGAAGACCATCATTTGGAATCGCAAAACTAACTACTATGTAAGCTGAGCTAGTCTTCTCTGTGGTATGACTTGTCCTAGAAACTAGCAGTTGATATCAACCTTCATCTTTCTGTGACATTTGATAAGAAAACTCTTCTGTTTTTTGGTTTTATCCCTTTTCCTGAAGCCTTAAGTTAAGTTTCCGGTGAGAGTAAATGCACAGTAGAAAGCAACTTGGATTATAAATGTCTCCATTACATTTCCTTCCTTTCTCTGACAGTAGACGAGAAACTTGAGGGTAAAACAATAATAAATGATTGATACAGTTAAAAAGGGGTTAAAGCCTTAGGACTTGAGATTTCAGAATTTTTTTTTCCACCCTTTCCCCCATCCTCACCTGCTTTAGTTTATGTGTCTGAGTTTTGGACATCTCAGTGAAGCAAGCGAATTTATTTTCTCACCCAGACTACAACCTAGGTTGCCTTTAATTGTGGAATAGCATGGTCAGAATTAGTATTCTGTGGCTGTGCTGCCTTCATTTTTTATAAGTAAGTTGATGTGTCTCTGTTGTAGAGTTTTCATGTAGGAGAGACATGTTAGATGATATAACATAGTCTTTAGAAGAAATGTTTAATGCAGTCGAATTTTGTGGGATTTTTTTTTCCTTAAGAGGGGAACAACACTTAAGAGAAGTGAGAGCGGCATGATGCCTGTGAGGGTGACTGGCAGAGAGGTTGTGGAGTCTCCATCCTTGGAGATACGCAGAAGCTGTCTGGATGTGCTCCTGGTGGCCCTGTTTCAGCAGCGGTTTGGGCCAGGTGACCTGCAGTCATGCCTTCCAACCTCAGCCAGTCTGCGATTCTGTGATCTGTCACAAATTGATCTGGGGCTGTTCAGCCTGGAGAAGGGGAGACTGAGGGGAGACCTCATCGCTCTCTACAACTACCTGAAAGGAGGTTGTAGCGAGGCGGGGGTTGGTCTGTTCTCCCTAGTGGAGAGTGATAGGACAAGGGGAAATGGCCTTAAGTTGCGCCAGGGGAGATTCAGGTTGGATATTAGGAAGAATTTCTTTACTGAGAGGGTTGTCAGCCACTGGAACAGGCTGCCCGGGGAGGCGGTTGAGTTGCCATCCCTGGAGCTGTTTAAGAGAAGGGTAGATGTTGCGTTGCAGGACATGGTTTAGTGGTGTTGATAGTGCCAGGAAAAGGTTAGACTTGATGATCCTCAAGGTATCTTCCAGCCGAAACTGTTCTGTGATTTTATGATTAAACATACTGTGCAAGATTTGATAAGCTTACTCTTGCATCTGTAGTTACAAGTACATTAGAAAATCTTGTAAATGTTACAATATATGTACTAATCAATGCAGTCGCAGTACTTGGTGGCAAATCATAACTTTCTGTTCTTTAGTAATAGCTGTAGTTTTTCTGATTTTTGATGGGTGTATATTTTCAGCGTACCCTAGGAAAACAGGATTTTCTGCAGGTGTTTGCTTTTCTACAGTGTCTTAAGTTGCTAATTTTTGAAACTTGCTTCATGATATAATCATACAGTTTTGTAGAAAGACAGGTGCTTCAGGCATTCCCCCTTTTTGCTCTTGACTTTTTGTGCTTAGCTGTAATAATCGCTAATGTAATATCTTCACTTGAGAAGTGGCCACAGCATCTGAGTTATGGCAGATAAAATTGTTTTTGTTCTAAATGCTCACTGCTCCAGGACATCAGACGTTTCTTTAGGCTTGAGCTGTTCTCTTTGCATGATCTGTTTGATCATGAGACCTCAGGAACTGACTTTCTTTTATGGTAAATGTTGATAAGGACGGAAAGCATGAAACCCTTCACATTTGTCAGTGTAGTAGTATCTAAACTGTTACCTGTTTTAATTACTGCCTCAGAAAGCCTGGTCACATTGCACCTTTGTTTTTCCAAACTATGGTTACAAAGACTTCATGTGATGTATAAATAGTTACAGTAAGTTAATTTGTATTGAAGTCTTCTTATTAAATAATACCGGACATTGTATCTGGGTAGGATTTCCTTGGTAGAGAAACGATAAAATGAGCATGCCTTTTTAAGCTATGCTAATGTAGCAGTTGAGTGGTGTTGGCTAGCTATAGATATTCCTCTCATCTTTTGTTAAAGTTTCTCTAGCCTCTTAGAACTGCCCTTTTCATCATTTCAAAATACGAAAATGCGTTCTTAAGTAAAGCTTTGAAATTCAGTATAGCCTGTTGTATTTATGCTCAGTCAGCATCGTGGCAGGGCAGCACTCGTAATCCAAGAGAGGAGTGGAAGTAGAGACAGCATTGGCACAGGAGAGAAATTAATTTTAAAAGCAACCCAAAACGTTGAATATATTTTACTGTTGGTCTCTTTGCACTTAGCTTTTCCTTTCTTGAAGATGATGTAAGGAAATAGATCAACTGTACTAAAATTTAATTTTATTTACCCAGATGGTGTAATAGTCAGAAAGTGCTGGTAAGTGTTGAGCATTATACACACACACATCTGAAACCATTACTAAAGTTTACGTAGGCTTGTGCTTTGTTTGCAGCTAGATACAGATTTAAGCTGACTGTTTGATAACTCCTGTACAAACTTAATGTGACACTGTTGTATTCTTTTTGCCTTCTATTTTTGTTTTTCAAAATTGCATTAACCACAGAAGTCTAGTGTGTAAGGTGAAGAGCTTTAATGTCCTTTTAGCGTACGTTGTGGATCTTGTTTAGAAACCTGGAAGCAACAGTAAGAATTTTTTCTGTCATTTATCTTGAGAGAGTGTGTAACAATTTCTTTTTTTTAGTGTACATATACTGCGTTACTCTCCTGAAAATGCCTTCTTTTTTAATCAGTGATGAAGAGCGATACAGATACAGAGACTATGCAGAAAGAGGCTATGACCGCCACAGGACAAGTAGAGAGAAAGAAGACCGACACAGAGACAGGAGACACAGAGAGAAAGAAGACACTAGACACAAGTCATCTCGAAGGTTTGGGTTTTGTTTTTTTTAATAGGATACGAAAGACTTGACCAGTTTAAAAAAATTAAGTAAACTTTTAAAAGAACCCCAAACAAACTGGAGTTTTGTGGAAGGACTGTAAACACTTAGATGTACTACTTGGAACAGGTCTGCCCTAGAAAACGTGGACAGACAAAAAGCCATGTTGGCCCTCGGTAACTTCATGTGACAGTCTTAGCTAGTGGGGAAGAATGGTTAAAATGGTGGGTCAGAAAGAGGTGGAGTGAAGCTGACATTCAGCAGCATTAAACAACTCTTAGTCAGTAAAATAACCCTGGTGGTCACTTGATAGAAATTTAATTCATAGAATCATAGAATGGCCTAGGCTGGAAAGGACCTTAGACATCATTTAATCCAACCTCCCTGTCATGGGCAGGGACACCTCTCAACTAAAATTGTTTAATCCTTTTTAAATTGGAAATAAAGGTTAAGGAAGTCCAGCAAACAGGGTCAACAAGAATGTTAAACCATTAAGGGATGCCAGTAGGGACATGACATTATTAAAAGTATTGCTATTAGAATATGGGTTACAAATGTGAAAATAATTCCACTTTCCCAACAAAAAGTACAGGATGAGTGGGTGTATGACACCAATCCATGAAAAATTCAGCTTGGCACTGACATCCAAATAGTATATGGGTTGGAACCAGAAGCAGGTGCCAGTTTTCAAATATGAATACAGAGGCTGATTTTTTTACTACTTTCTAATTACATGTGGCCTGAAATGTCATGCCATTGTTTGAGGTATTTTTTTCTCTCTCTCTGTGCAGTAACAGCAGACGTCGTCATGACAGTGAAGAAGGGGACAGCCACAGAAGGCACAAACACAAAAAATCCAAAAGAAGCAAAGAAGGAAAAGAAGCCAGCAGTGAACCTGCTCCCGAGCAGGAGAACACTGAAGCTGCCCCTGTGGAATAGGCTTGTGTGATTTTTGCCTACTTGCATATATATTAGTGCCAGAAATAGATTACTATAAATCTTGTTATTTTTCTGGGTATTAAAATAATTTGCTCTTGATCTTGTTCTGTTAGTTTGAAATCAAAGGTTACTTTGTTTTTTCAAAAATAAAAAAAATGGATTTTTCATGTTAAGATGCCTTCACTGACTTTGTCTTTTAAGAAACAGTGAGAAAACAACTTACAGCTAGAGGCTTATGCTCTTACAATGGACGTAGGGCTTAAGTTCTTTGTATTAAACTGTCTCCTTTTTTTTCATAAGCCAGGGGGAAGGTCATTCTTTTACTGACTTTAGGAACAGTGTGCATCCACATTATTACATACCAACATCTGGAACAGTGCGGGTTTATAGCTTTGGGACTTCATGGTTGAAAAGGTCATCCTCTACTACAAGGACAGGCGGGAGTTAGAGACTTCAGGAACCTTGTACTAAGGTGAAACAAAAAAAAAATCCCACCCCAAAACGAGGGAAACTAGGAAAGGTGCTGATTGTTCTTAGTCTGATGTAATGCCGAGTGTGGTGATCGTACACTTGGTAATTATGTCTGGGTTGTGTGGGTGCATAAGAGAGAATTAAGCTGGATAATCATCCCTGCTGCTTTTCAGTGGCTTAAGAGAAAGTTCATTTTAGTCTTTGTTCTCGGGGAACAGCTGTCTTTAACATGGTAGAGATTAACAAATGTATCCTCTGCCCATTGCTGGCTTGTGAGGGGAAAAAAATAAGACATTGGAATACGAGTAATTTGGGGAGGAAGGCAAAGAACTATACTAAGAAAAGTGCGAGATTGTCTTCACGTTCAGATTTACTCCATCCAGAACAGTATCAAATGTGACTGGCATGGCGTTCCTGCAAAAATTGTAGTGCCCTGTCAGGGGGCTGTTTAGAACGCTTACGTGACACTATTAGCAGGATGCAGTGTAGTTCCTTAAAAAACAATAACGCTCTGTAAAAAAAAATCCTGTATTTTAATAGTAGTTATCAAAACATACCAGGGAAACTAGGTTATTTGGGTTTGGATGAAAATAATGTCTGTACAAGTACACAGTTACAGTTTATTTTTAATTATTTAGAAATTTAATTCACAGTTTTACAGACTAACAAACAGTACTTGAAAGTCTTGAAAATATCAGCTTCATGCTGACCATGAAAAGGTACACACAATCAAAGTGCTATTAGTGTGTTGGATAAAAACCTTCACCTGATTTTTGCAACTAGAACAATTGCAATAAATTTTTCAGAAGTTATTTAAGAATTTCTTTTTGTAAATCAAAATGAAGTGGGTGTGCAGGAGCTGCTGCTTCCTAAATTTCATTATTATTATTATTATTATGCATTAAATATATACACATATATAAAAAACCCAAAAAAAATCTTAAGAACACAGGGAAGGAAAGACTTAAGTCTGTAGCTTAAATCACTCTAAAGTGCTTTTCTGACAGGGGTCCCTGCTTTTCCTAAACTTGCCTTTTCTTGACATGCAGGTTGAAATTTCACAAACCTTTTTCCTTACTTGACCCACCCAAAAAAGCAAAGACTGATGTTCCTATTTCTTTTCTGTGTTAAATTGCTTGTCATACTCTCCATGAAGACTTGTTCTATAAAAAAGTGCCAGGCCAGGATGCAATTGTGAGAGTAATTTTTCCTTTCAGTTCTTTGAGCATCCTTGCCAAGCAGGCATGCATCATTCCTGATGTGTTCCTGCCGTTGACAGCAAGGAGGATGTCACCACACCTGAAAAGAAACAAAGACAAATAAGAGAGAAAAATTAAACAAGACGGCTTCTTATCTTAAACATTTGCAGTTGCCAATTCATGTCCTTAAGCTGGGAGAGGTAGAAATGAGTGTTGCTATTTCTCTGCTGTTTATGGATAAGGGAATAAAGCAGGTGAAAATACTTCATTTTTTTTTCCCTTACAACTTTAATTAGACATAATTGAAAGAAAGTATGATACAGTTCTTTCAAAATGTGTTCTGAACAAACTATGTTTTAAGACTTCTTAACTGATTTAAATTTGCTCCAGAATTCCTCACTTACTCTTAAATTGCATCGATGTTCTCAGGGAAGGTTTTTGGCTGGTCCCATTTTTTCTGAGCTGGTAATCTGAGAAAGCTCTGTGCTGGCATTCATGGTACTACCCCAGTAGTAACTAACTTACCTTTATTCATATAACATATGAGTAACATATTTATAACATATAACATTATCTTTATTCATATAACATAGTGATAGCTAGACATCTGGAAACATTCTGCTATGAAGGTAAATCTGTTAAAGCTCTGGACGCTTACATTTCCAGATCTGTCAGAATTAGTGCTATATCAATGAGTCCTATTTTCCCTCCCCTGCCCTGCCATTGTCTTCATGAAAAAAACTGTTTAAAAAAAACCCAACAAACCACCACACAAATGAAGTACATGAAAGACTTCCTTAAATGCTACTTTTCATTAGATAGTGGTCATTACCTAATTCTGCCATCGTTATATGCTGGTGTTCCCCCAACAATGGATTTTATAAAGAATGGTTTGTTCCCAGTATGTTCTTCATAACCTCCTACGATGCTGAAGCCAAGACTTCCAGATGTGTTTCTTCGTAATACAATTTCTTTGCAGCTGTACAAATACCTGAAACAAGCCAGTCTAATTAAAAGTCTTAGAGTTAACTTAAGATTCTGATGAATCATTAATGACGAGAAGATAAGCTTGTCCTTGCTATAATGATTGTCACAAGATTTTACAGTAAGAACAGAAAACTGCTTCTCCCTCTGTTCATCTTTTGAATATATTTTATGATACTTGTCAAAGCTGAAACAAGGACTAGGGGGAAACGAGAGTAGTAAGCTTATTAGACTCTTACACTTTGCCTGTTGCTCTGAGTACATCAATTTCAATTCCTGCTTTGTTTCTCTTTTTACCCAAGCAGGGAAAAAAAAAAATACTGTTAGTTACAGAGCAACAGATTTCTGTCCTTAGTACTTGTAACAGTCATTATTAGCAGTGTACCCAGGAATGATGGAAGAGCCTGAAAATCCTTTTGCTATTCCAAATCTGAAATTATAGGTTGGTCTACAGCAAGCGTTAACAACCTCTACTCAGAGACTCTAGGTTTCCAAGAAATGGCTGTTATATCTGTAGGAGATTAAGCAACTTTATCTTAAAGACCAATATGTCTAGCTTTTTTTTAAAAAGTTGCCAAATAATGCTTTTGCTGTGTTTCACAGCAGGATGTTATAGTAATGCTAGATTAGTCCTGCAGGACCTACAAATATTCACCTGCTGCCAGAATGGTAGGTATATAATATTTGCACAAGAATTCACAGGCTGCTAATGTGGGAAACAGGTGACATTTGCTTCTCTCCTCAGCAGCCAGGCATTATTACTTCACCATCTGTGGACTTCTTCAATGTGCAAAATCACTTAAACCTCTATGTTTGATGGTACTTATCAAGGTCATGACCAAGCAATGCTGGGATTCAGCTGTTAGCCCTATTACCTAGTGTTGATTTTTTGGGGGCAGGGGTCCTTGCTGCCTGGTGCTGTGCTCACTGCCTTAAGGACATTGCTGAAACTGAAAGGTGATCAGCTAGATCCTAATGCCATAGAAAAGAAATAGCTGGTTGGGTAAAGACACAAGAAGAAACCACAGTGAAGGCAAACAAGGCTTACATACATGCTGTGCATACAGTCTCTAAGGTGCAGTTGCACCATCTCCGTCAGCCTAGAAAGCATAAATATGTATTTGCTATCAAAGTTAAGTAAAATAGACATGGCATTACTAGTGTTAGGATTGTTCTCTCTGCCAGAGCAGAGGAAACACGTGGGAAGCACGGAGCAGCAGAGAGCAACTACTCTGTCCTGGCTCCAAACCCCTTGTGCTGCATTTTGCCTCACCGCCAGGACAGGATGTAACCTGCTGTGACAAGACAGTGGAGACCAGGAAGGCAGGAGGAGAGGTGTTGGAGTGAAGCTGAATATGGGAAAAGGGGAGGATAGGAGTTTTCCCAAAGCGTCTACATGTTTATCATCTATGGTTCCCAATGTCCAAATTGGTAATTAAATGTTTTAAGTTCCTCGAGCTAGGTCTGTTTTGCCTGCAACAGTAATGGACGAGTGGTTTCCCTGTCTTTGTTTTGACCCGTTAGTTTTCTTGCTCCTCCTATTTTTCTCTTGTCCTGCTGGGACAAGAGAGTGCTTCGCGGTGCTTCGTGCAGGCTGGCTCCAACCCATCACACTGGCCATAGCAAGAGATTGACTCTTGGTAGAATAGGAGTGGCTGCGTGGTGTTTACACCTTTAAAGTGATGTTTTCTTATCCCCATTGTGGGAGTAGCTAGCTAAGTATCACGAGGATACCACTTGCTCTGAAAAGTTAAAACCATAAGAAGCAATGCCAGCTCTGCCTGAGCAAAGAGCAGCCCAGAGGGGGTTAATTTGTTTGGGTCTGTTTGCGGCTGTGTAGTAATAAAGACAAGCTAGGAAGTGCCACAAAGAGAAAATTAAGTAAATACTTGCATCATCCGAAGATGCTTAATGTATTTGAGTAGATTATTTCTCTGCAGTAACAAAGGCACCAAGTCTGGGTGTTTTGACACAGTTAAACCGCTATAACCCGCTAAGCTGCAACAGGTCCAAGGAGAACTACCATCTGCCTTGGAAGAGATTCTTCGGCCTCTGTAAATACTGGAAAAGCTGAGGACAAGGAGTAATTGATTTGTGAACTTGCCTCAGATTCAGGATTTGAGGAGTTTAAACAGTAGTCTAGGCACAGGGACCTATCATAAGATACTACAACTAAGCATCAGTTACTAAGGCACAAGGAATTTTAAAACACCTATTTTCAAGTAGTTAAACAGACAGTTACCTGCCGCTTTACTCAAAGTGTGAGTAGCCTCATGCTCTGGAAATGAAAACGAGCCTGACTTCAGGAGGACTTCAGCAATAAGAGCTATGAAAAGCATAATTCCCTTCCCCTGCCCTGGTACAGTAGACAAGTGGCAGTAAAGTACAGTAATATTTGAGAATTGCCCCCATCAGAGCCCTGCAGCCTGAGTGGAGTCAATTTGGGGGAATTTCTGTCCTAATTCCACGTTTTACACCCAGTTCTACCCTTGGTTTGCAGAATAACTTTGGCCACCTCCTG